GATGAAGTACTTGATCTGTAAATTACTTGAACACTGTTTCAAGTACTTTCTACATTAGAAAACAGGCCTTTTACTAGTGCTGATGAACAAAATTCGCTAAATTTCCTATATTCGAGGGGACAACTCATTCCCTCTTTGCGTGTAAAAATGGTTCTGTTTGAAGCACGCATCTTAATAAATGAATTAAGGGCCACAGATAAAAATTATTCTTGGTTTCAGATGAGAGTGTCGTGTATTTTCATTGACATTTTACTAACACTAAGCGTAAACATATCTAGTGTCGATATCTAGCTGGTCTAATCCGTCAAAGAAACTGTGGCCAGTCAATGAACAAGTACTAGATAAAAATTGCATCGGTTGACTTACAATCAAAATTTTCAATATTTATTCCCTACTTTTTGTCTGCCATAATGTTTGTAGGTGGCATATCTATTTTGTACCAGAGGAGAAAAGAGAAAAATTGGGAGAACAATGGATAGCTCCGATACTTTCTGGCTCCAATATATCTAATCAGAAGACATGATCAGTTTCATAGCAGTGCACTTTGAATTTAAAAAGAAAGGTATAAAAACAGTATCTATCCCCCTGGACAAAAATAGTTAGACTCGGTATTTCTAACATATTTCCACTATAAGACCACACTTTTTTAAAAGTACTTACATATTCTGAAAGCTTGTGGAGTTTTCTATCACTCTGTATAATTTGGTTTTAGTTTCGTCCTATTCATTATCAAAATAAATTGAGAGCAATGAAAGCACCCTCATGTTCAGATTCCCATAAACTTGATTTGTCACTGTCGTCAAAATTAGTTTTTTTAATTTTTTTTCACTATAGTACCATCTTTTGAGAAAAGTAATTATATATTCTGACAGAGCTTGAAATTCTCTATCATCCTGTATATTTATTTATTTTCTTATATTGATTTATTTAAAAAAACATTTGAGTACAATGAACACATCGTGAATCGACAGGTACCAAAAATCTGCATTTTTTTCGCTATTTAAATTCAAGACACGACATTAATACATAGGATGATAGAGAATTTCAAGCGCTATCAGAATATGTAATTTCTTTTGGAAAAAATTATTCCTATAGGAATAATAATTGGAGGGAAAACTAAAAAAAGTGGCGAAAAAATGCAGATTTTTGATACTTGTTGATTGAGGGTGCGTTCATTGTACTCAAATTATTGTTCAACAAATAAATGTAAGGCAATAGCTAAATATATGGGATGATAGAGAATTTCAAGCTCTATCAGACTACATAATTACTTTTTTTAGAAAGATATTTCTATAGTCGAAAAGTTTAAAAAACTAGTTGAGGATACAAAATCCTGTCTGTGGGGAATCTGGACACGCGGGTGCTTTCATTGTTCTCAATTTATTTTGATAATGAATAGGTCGAAACTAAAATCTAACTATACAGAGTGATAGAAAACTCCACGGGCTTTCAGAATATGTAATTACTTTTAAAAAAGTGTGGTCTTATAGTGAAAATATATTCGAAATACCGAGTCTAACTATTTTTGTCCAGGGGGATATATAAAACGTTACTTACGTATGAATAATACAACGTCAAATGTGTCGCTGTAAAAATAATACTGGATAACTGCTTTATTTTCTTTTTTTAGTTCTTTTTTCGGCACGTGCTACCATGAATGGAGTACAAATGATATACGTTTCCGCCTATACGCTACGATGACGTTTTTACGTTATTCTTATTTCCCTTTTCTTTTTTCTTTTACTATTACTTACTTCCCACGTGTTCGATTACACTGAGTTTATGACGCAATGGCGATGCACTGAAAACGTACTCTGTAACGCACAACTGCGCTAAAATTGGAGCACAGTGGCGCATTTTGCCGTAATTATCACGCAACACACGCATTTTGTCGCAGTTACGTCGTGGTGGCTAAAACTGTGTATTGTTTTAAATGTTGAACAACTTTTGTGATTGAAAATCAAGAGGTAGACTAATACGGAAGCAGCATGGATTGAAAATATGTAATCAAAACCCAAAAAAAATAAAAGAGTGAAAATATGTAAGAAATATACTGTAAAATGTTAATTACTCATACACACGAATAGTTATTTCTTCTATGCTGTATTTATTTAGGTTGTATCATCTTTGTCACGTTGCATTTTTGTTCGAAGAATCGTTAGTTTGTTTTCATTTCGATAGAAGTCTCCTTTGAGAAAAGTAATATCAACAATATTTCCAAGGATAAACATATAGACACCTGTACCGATAAACTGTTGTATTATGAAAAGGCGATTGCGATACACGTAATTAATACTAAAAGTATCTATGTAATGTGGCGAAGATGATAGAAGCTAAATAAATACAGTACAGAAGAAATAACTGTTCGTTTATATGAGTATGCTTTCGCATTAATCTACCTCTTCGTTTTCAATCACAAAAGTTGTTCAAGATTTAGAACAGTAGCTAACGTCAAGAAAAACACAATCAACTACTTGCTTTCCTGTATGT